TTTTTTTTTTAAAAGATAAGTAAACGGGTGCTACAACCTCGCAAACAAAAAAAATCATACTGAATGTCCATATTGACACTAAGTAACCCAGAGTTGTCATTATATTGCAACAGACTAGGAAATCCCTATGAGCAACAATCCCATCATCCAACCAAACAAGAAAAACTAGAGATACAAGAAAAATATAAAGCAATCCCCATAATCGCATACAGAGTCTAACTCGGGGTTCTCATTTTATTGCAGGCTCATAAAGTCCAATATTCTTCAAGAAAACAACAACAAAAACCTCTAAAACAAATGCGACAATAGATACTTCACACACAACCTTAATTAATCATCTTCACCCCACACATGCCGGCACCCCTTTCCCTCGATTGATCACGCTGGACGCCTTTTCATTCTTCATGATCTTATGAAACAGCACGGCCCGGTCCTCCTCGACAATCTCCCTCAGCAGCTCATCCTCGATGTTTGGCGCCTGCCAATGGGATGGGTCCTCCACGCGCTCGTCGCTGAATATCATGTCCGAGACCCACTCCTTCCAGGTGGTGCGCCCGTACTTGTCCTCCTCCAGCGTCCCTGTCCCCAATAGCTGGTACACATACACCACCTTGCTCTGCCCGGGCCGGAAGGCCCGCGCAATGGCCTGCTTGCTTTTAGACGGGTTCCACTCCGAGTCGAGCAGTATCACCCTGGAGGCCGCCGTCAGGCTGATCCCCTCTGCGCACGCTGAGATTGACGCCAGCATGACCTTGGACGGCCCTGCACGCTCCTCAAACTTGTCGATCAGCCGCCCGCGTTCGAAAAGCTCAATATCCCCCTGCAGCACCAGCACGTCCCGCCCCTTGTGCCACCCGTAGAACCTCTCGAAAAGTTGGACAAAGAGATTAATGGGGGCGATGTTGTGGCAGAAAATGAGGACCTTCTCGTTGCGTAGGAGGCAGCGGGGGATGAGGTTCATGACGAAGCGGACCTTGGACCCCGCCTTGACATCGAACCTGAAGGACTCGAGATCCTGGAGCTCGTACGGAAATAAATACCGTTCTGAGCAGGTTGTGGTCCGGATGAGGCTAGGGTGGATGGCGCCGAGGGTGATGAGGAGCTCGAGCTCGAGCGGGAAGCCCTTGCAGTTGGTGGGCCTGCGTTCCTGAAGCTTGCGGGAGAGCTCCTGCTGAAGTGGGGTGAGCTTCATCATGAGGGTGTAGCACTGGAGACCTGGGAGCCTGTCGGAGCTGCTCCTCCCGCCCTCGTACACGTCAATGAATTTGGTGGTGAGCTTCTTGAGGGTTCTGAGGGCCTGGGCGCGCTCCCCACCCTTGTTGGAGTCGATCTTCTTGGAGATCCTCTCGATGAGGAGCCTGCGGGCGCGATTCTCGAGGGAGAAGGGGGTGCGGCGCTCCCTGTTGCGCTTCTCGTACTTGGGGTCGAGCTCCCTGAGGACCTCGTTGACGAAGATGGGGCGGGCGAGGCATAGGGTGTTGAAGTACTCCCCGAAGTTGTTCTGGAAGAGGGTCCCGGAGAGGAGGATGCGGAGCCTGGTGTCGACCTTCATGAGGCCCTTGCGGAGCCTGGACTTGGTGCTCCTGGGGTTGTGGCCTTCGTCGAGTATTAATATCCCGGGGCAGCGCTTGAGGAGGTGGGCCATGTACTTGCGGTGGGCATAGCTGGAGTCGTCGCGGGTGAGGGTGAGGAAGGAGGAGTAGCCCATTAGGAGGATGCTGGGGTGGGAGAGCCAGTTCTGGATCTTGTCCAGGCAGTCGAGCACGTGGAGCACGTCCTGGTTGCGCGGGAGGCCCGGGCACAGCCTCGTCCTCTGCTTCAGGACCGCCTCCTTGTACGTCAAGCCCCCGTGGATCTGGTACACCGGGATCGAGATCTTCCACTTGATGATTTCTTTGTACCACGTGTACAGCGTCGTCTTTGGGGCCAGCACAAGGGGCCTCGACCCAGGGAACAACTTCAGGTAGCTCACGAGGAAGGCGATAATCAGGAGAGTCTTCCCGGCCCCAGGGGTGTGGGAAATCACGCACCCGCCCCTCTTCTCCTGCCTCTTCTCCATCCGGGAAGCTTTCAGGGAGCCCGCTATGTTTCGCCACAGGAACTCAAAAGCTTTCTTTTGGTGGGGCCGCAGTTTGTCCCTCAGCTCAGGTATGAGGGCCCACACGTTCTCTTTCCCGCCCGAGGGCTCTGGGGTGGGGATATGGAGGGGCACAGCCTCATATTTGCTCGTTCCCTCCTGCTGGTGGGGGTCCTTGTCTTGAGTTCGTTGCTCTTTGTTTGAAGTTCCCTGTTTACAATTTACCTGCACAGTACGTACAGTGTGTTCATCATGTAAATTCACCTGATAATCCAAATTTTATTCAAGAATCGTTTTCAAGACAACAAAACTTACAAATGGCGGAAATATATCCTTTATTTCGGTCTCCACAAACCCGCATAGTTGGCAAACAATCCCGACTTGTTCATCGAGTATGTAGTCGTGTTCGCAAATGTTTTCATCGTTTTGACCGGCCTTTTCCGGTGGTTGAGACTTGTCCTGTAAAGTATTTTCCTGGTAGTGAATAAACTCGAGTTCTTGACATTTGGTAACAAAAAAAAACAAATACCCTCCTGACGCATGTTACCTGTTACGATTCACATTGAGGTAAATAAAAAACACAAGATGGTAGTCATATTTTTAAGAAGCTGACATGATATTGTTATAACAAGTCAAAAACTTAATGGTTGATTCTTCTACTTCCTTTTTCCCTGTACAACTTATATCATCAATTCATTACTCAATACTGAATACTTGTAAGCAATCAAAAAACAAACCGCATTGTCATCATCAAAGAGATACCAAGATGCCATCGCAAGATCCATCTCTCCCCACAACAAATCGATTTCTGTTATTTCCTTCTCACTTTCCACCTCAGACTTCTCATCATTTTTATCTGTCTGGCCAATTTTTTTGGCCGACTGGAAATCTTTCCACTGGTCAACAGAGGGTGGGTGCTCACGTGTGTTCTTTAACGTGTCATCTATATTGATCATGCAACGCCTGATCAACTCCCTGCACATTTGCGCATTCGCCGAGTCCTTCTTATAACTTTTCACATCGTAAATGCTGTCCCGCACATAAAAGCACTCCCTCTTTATATTTTTCAGCCGACCATTTTCGCGGACGTATTTTCTTCTAGACCCCTTCCCACTCCCTCCCCCACTTTCAAAATCCATGATTTCATCAAGCTGTTTCTTCTTATGCGTTGATGATAGCAAGCCGCTGGCGAAAAATCGCTCGTTGAACAATTTCTCAGTATTATCTCCCTTGTCGACATCTTTAGGAACTTCAAACCTGCTAGTGAAGTAGGACCTGTTATCTGACATTTTCGCTTTCTTTTCGTGAAAAGTTGACCAGTTGCCAGTGCCTCCTTTCTGCTGAAACTCATTGCCGGCCTGAACGGACAACGGCACGGGAATTTCATCATACTCATCGTCCTCCACGTTGACTTCACCATGCTCAGTTTTATATTTGCTCTCTCCCAAGCGGGTCACCTCGATCTCGTAATCAGGAAGGTTATCGCAAGCTAGATAACGTTCAGGCTGCACGTGCCGGCGTTTTGACCTCCTTAGCTCCATGAGATTGAACGGAGAAGAATATGACCCGGTTACCTGTCCGGTGGAACTTTCCGGAAGATTATCGGGGACGAATGGGAAAACGGCAGGTGTGAGGACCCCATTGTCCATTTTAAAATTAACTGCGTAAGAATCAGCACGGCGGCTGGCGTCACTTGTGCAATTCGTATTTTCCGAGATTTCATACACAATATGATTTTGTACGAATTTCACGTCAAACGCAGTTTTCTTGTAGGTGGAGGCAACTAGGAGCCATGTGAGGTCGGCCCCAAATTTCCCGTGAAAGAATTTGAGGTGGTGGACGGACCAACAGTCCTCGGTTGAGCTCCAGCGGTAGTACTGTGTTTCGCATGGTTTGGGATTGAGATTTTGGAGAATGGCAATTTGGTCTAACGTCACCATTCTCGTCTCCTTACTGAGTTTTTTGTTCTCAGAAAAGAGGTCGGGTCCTTGGTTGATATAGAAGCTGACGTTAAATTGGCAGGTGCACAAGTCATTGTGGGTTTTTCTCTCGATGGATCTTATTCTTGCATCGAGCCATACCTACAGCATAAAAAGTGACGGATGAACAAGAAAAAGTGGACAACATGCTGTGCGGAAAAAAAAAAAAAAAAAAAAGAACTTTGAATAAAGATGTTTGACATGCTTAAAATAGTGGCAGAAGTTTGATTCAATCATATTCCTAGTTATAAAGAAAGAAAGAGAAGCAAAAGAATGCATTAGTGGGACTTACAGGCAGGATATTTGTGTGATTTTCAGAGGTGTGAGCAGTTGAAAGCACAGAAATGTCGATTCCAGATCTTAAAAATGAGGTGCAGTCAGAGGAGGTGGCCTCCCTTGACCTTACACGGAGGTTTGGCATGGGAATGACCTCCTCTATCACCTCTCCATCATCAACAACGTGCGCCGTGATGCTTCCATCAATAATGTATAAACGTTCCACAGGCTGCCACGACTCTCTCCAAAATGCCTCAAAAGCTATCATTAAGGAAACATGTCAAACTAAATTACAACAATATCTCAAACTCCCAACTTTTTTCTTTCAAATATAAATTCAATGCTTACACTGACTGTTATCCAACTATATACAAAAAAAAAAAAAAAAAAGCCATATAGAGTTTTGTCCTAAACACATGCAATAAAGTATACGAAAGTTTTTTGCTAAATGTGACATGCATACGTTCTATACAACGAATTAGATTAATGATGTTATAAATTATGGAAAAATCAAACTCTAATACTTACGCTGTGGATTGAATGGATGGTTGCTTTGGTGCAGCTGCCGCCTCTTCATAATCCTTAGTAAGCAGTTCTAACTTTTATTTTATCACAAAAAGAAATCCAGGAAGATTAAAGAGTTTACACCTGCAATATATTTTCAGAAGAGATTACTATTATTAGAAATTGAACTGCTGCCAACGACCAATAGCATCATTTACGAATATCACACCTTTAACGCTAGCAAAAGAGTTCACCAAAACAAACTGATACTTCTTACAAATAGTCATGCATTAATGTGAACTTCTGAATAATGGAAAAACAGCCTTGTGATCATTCAATTTGTCAACTTCAGTTTAACTTCGTTCTACACATCCTAATAGAACCTCAGCTGGCTAGAGAAATTATGCTTGATCGGCTTAAAACATCATCCTACTCTGTTTATCAGAGAAAGAAGACAATATTGCTCTCATATAGAAAATTCTTGAGGCAAGAAAATATTATATTGTGAGATTTGGAAAACGAGTAGGCATGATCCATGGGGGTGAAATTCCCGGGGAAGGAATAAAATGATAAATATCAAATAGTAAATATCCGTCGTAAAAGAGAAAGAATTCCATTTCCCATACCTAAAGCAAGAAATAAAAATTGCTTGCAAGTTATAAACTCCAATGATTAGTACAAAACCGACGCTCTAATGCAGTCAATATAAGATTTTTCGTAGAAACGACTTGCATCCGTTTCGTTTGAAAAGCCAGAAATACTATTGTGAAATGTTGCACTCAGGCTGCCACTTACTACAGTAAGTTTGTAAGGATTCTAAAGGATTTGACGACCATCATCTGATTGTACAGAACAAATAAGGCAATTCACTAATGGAACCTTAATTCATGATTGCACGTAGATGCTTCATGCCGAGTCATTATGAGTGTGCAATGTAGTTCAATTACGAGCCAAAAACCCCATTATAAGACATGGTTCGAAAAAATCAGATGAAATGGAATTAAGTGAAACTTGGACGTAAATCTGCCAAATTTTTACCCCTAAAGAAGTGTTTGTACAGAGATTGGACATATTTATCATTAACAAATATATATATATATATATATATATATAGATGGGGAGCTATTGTATAAAAATCAAAGAACAATGAAAAATAAGTACAACACGGCTTCAGACGATCAATTAGTTTCACTAACAGAAAAAAGTAATCCAAAATGCATTATTAGGTCCCAGAAATCGAGAGTGCACTTTGTAACTAAAAGATTACACACAGAAACACACAAAGATCAATCTAATCTTTAACACAGAAACATATATATATAGATATGAAATATCTCTCTAATATCATAGAAATAACAGGGTCGGATAAGTCAAAATGAGCAGCAAAAACAAGTGCAAATAGTGACTACGAAATTCTAGAAAACAAAATCAAGTCCACACATTAGCCTATACTAACACAGATTACTTACTTCTGAACCAAATATAAAATAAAAAATGTCTGGAAAGTAGTGATATATGAGAAAATTCACAACAATTTAATTCCAGAAAAAAAAAATAAAAAAAATAGCATATTACAGCCCCAACAAATATAAAGAAAAAGAAGACGAAAAAAAACTAACTCAGAGCATAACGTATCCAAATTTAACAAAGAAATATAATTAATTAATACCAGATGCAGAATGAATTTTCATGGAAACGCAATTTTCGCTGATAATTTCTTCAACGCAAAAAAAAAAAAAAAAAAAAAAAAGGTCATCAAAATTCTTGAGCGCAAATTTTAAGGATAAAAGAAGATTGGGGTCAGATGTTTACTGAAAGTCAAACTCCAACTTGAAATTTTGATTCTGCCGAAAATCTGCAAGAATTTCTTTTCTTAGTTGGTATATCAGTTAATGACACACTAATTAAAACCTGGGATTCTGGTGAGAGTAAAGGCAGTTTAAAAAAAAAAAA